GCATGTTCACGGACTGAAAGTGTGCGTGTCAGGGAACACCGCAGAACGGATAGGAACAATCAACTCACTGCGGTGTTAGCCAGGCGACCGGGTGTTAGCAAGATCTTCCTCCCTCCATGCACAGAGAGGGCCCGGCCACCAAATCCTAGCAGGGGAACATGGGCATCATAAGCTCGGTCCCGCCTTCTGGTCATCGACGTCCATCGATAGTCTGGGTATTCTGCGATAGAGTAAGATGTTATGCCGAGAGATTCCTTGTCATATGACGCTCGCCCGCCAAACATGAACAGTTTGTTGTCTATCTCAATTATAGACGCGTTCATCCGTCCACAGACGTCGCCTCCTCCAACCTCAACGTACCACATTGCGCATCGTCAAGATCAATGGCTATGAGACGAGAAGACACGGCCTCCTCGTTGACATCGAAACCGCCAAACATGAAGATATAGTTTGCTTCTTGAAGGAAAGTGCACGCTGGTTTGAACAGCGACGGTAAAGGTTTCGATTTCCCTATCGGTTCGAATAGTCGATGAGCACTAGACCAGAATTTTGGCTGTGTAATAGATTCAGTAAAGGATTGAAGAGTACGAAGGAATTCCGCACCGTAAGCTTCTTCCATTGCATAGTGTCGGTATCCAGGACATGGAAATCATCGGTGGGGATGCATGCTTTGCCGTTGGGACGGCTCCCACCATACATGTAGATTTTTTGCCAATATCGCCCACAACAATGGTGCACCAGTCATTGAAAATCGGACGAATACACCTGTCACAGTGGCTAGCGAGTCTGCCTCCAACGTTGCAAAATGGAAGGACTTGAAGTCAAATGCGGTACAGTCAGTATGGGGTGAATTATCGGTTGAGGCCTTGCATTGGCTTTTTTCCATGTTGTCAAACCCCACTGTTCAGAGTATCATCATTCAGGCTATTGGTGGTTTGCATCCAGCATTGCAGAGCAAGGCTAAAGGGCCGTTCGATGATACTGGCTTCTTATTCCAGGATTTACTCAGTCAGTGTTTCTGCGCCCTTTGAATATCCAGCCTATCTCACCGTCACTGAGGGTTCTTCTGGTGTTTGCCGAATTTCTTGCCTCCAGGCTTCCCTTGAAAGAAGCAAATCCTGCAGCAGTGGAATTCCAAGCCCTTTTCATAGTACTTTATTCCATTTCGGCCTTCTGAGGCAAATGCTCTTTGCTTCATCACGAATACCCCGAAATTTATCCCTATCACAGAAGATGCTTACCTGCACTTCGAAGCCTTGAGGATTTACGCCGATATGGTTCCTATGCTATGGCATACTATGTCGCCCAGATCTTTGGAGGCGGTAGTCAATCTCATGTTTGATCATTACAACAGCGAAACCTATGTTTCTAGGAAGGTAGCCAGAATCATAGCCGAGGGTCTTTGTAAAGGCAACCCGGCAACGTACAGTGTCTTTCGTACCGCCAGAGGCTTGGAGCATTTCGGACATCATGGATATCGGTCGTGGGTGGTGGACATCATTGAAGGCTATATCTCTCCATTTGTATACTCCTCGAAATCCTGTCCTGAACCTTCGGTAGAACAAGAATACATCGGGTAGTGAGAAAAGCATGAGAAGAGACGCGAAAAGAGACGTGTCAAAGTTTGAATAACGTGTCCTTGTTTATGTACCATTAGATGTTCGAATGAAATGTCACGACATTTTGAGGACCGCTTCTTTGAACCTAAAAACATATTGGCCCCGGCAGTGCTTGCGTGAGCCGCTTGACCCCTAACAATGTTCTCAACTTGCTTACGAGTTTATGTAAAAAACCCGGCATGATGATTAAAAGCCGATCACCCAGGACTCGTATGTAATGACTATGAGCTTCCCCAACGGCCGTGTCTCACCCCATGGACATGTTCACCACCTACGCCCTCAACACAGGGCTCACCACCCTCCCAGCTCAGCTCACCACTCTCCTCGCCTCCCTCGCCTTTTTCACCCTCATCCACCTCGTCGTCGCGCCTCTCGCTAGCCGCGCGTTCTTCCCTGACGCTTACGGCAAGATGGGACGGCGGGCGAGGAATAACTGGTTGATTCGTTTGGTGTTTGGTGTTCGTGTCTGATGGATGTACAGGTGCATACACATCGTGTCCCAAGTACACGTCGCACTGGTTATTCCGCTCGCGCTGGGATGTCTCAATCTCGAGGCGCTGGACCGGGATCGAGCATTTGGGTGGGAAGAGGATAGGGTGGGGAGATTGATTGCTATTTCTAGCGGGTGAGTCTCGCTGTTTATATAATGAATGAACGGGGAGTGCCGAGTTGGACGAGCAGGTATTTCATCTGGGACACCGTCGATGCTATCATCAATTTTGTGGATATCGGTTTTGTCGTTCATGGCTTAGCTTGTTTGGCGATATATCTTGGGTCTTTTGTACGTCTGCCTGTTCGTGTTTGAGATTTTGTATATATCAAGTATCCTTTGTAGAAGCCGTTCTTGGCGTACTACGCGGCGCGGTGTCTTCTCTGGGAAGCGTATGTCGTTCTTTCAAGATTAATCATTTATCGCCTTATCCTTTCCTTTCTAGCAGCACGTTCTTCCTTAACATTCACTGGTTCCTCGACAAGACCAACCGTACTGGGAGCAACTTTCAGCTCGTCAATGGCTTGTTCCTCCTCGTGACGTTCTTCGTACTGAGGCTCGTGTATGGGGGGATGTATGTCGTACGTGTTTTGCACGCGTTTCTTGGCGCTCGACCTAATCCTCGGCACTAGTCATTTCAATTCGCGCATACGCTATATCAAGTCCGGCACCAAGTACCGCTCGCATATATTCTCATCTATGGAGGAGGGAATGTTGTGCTGCAAGGTCTGAACTGGTTATGGTGCGTGTTGATTTATCTTCCTAGTTGTCGTGCTGAAGCTGGGATAGGTTCGGGAAGATGATTGCGGCTATTCGGAAGCGATTCTCTGGGGATGCTACAGTCAAGAAGACTAGTAATGGAACCGCACCAAAGTAGAATGGAATATAGAGATTATTCCTGCAGTTCTGCGTCTTTGTGTAGACTTGAAGGCGACAATTAGTATATTGCTCCAGAGTATCTTATTAAGGATTCTTTTTAGATGGCTCTTAATATTGTCACGGAACTGTGTCGGGAGAGTCGTTACCTTGAAATCGCTCTAGCAACTTGCCCTCCGATGTAAGTGGGTCGGGAGAGCAACAGACTAACACCTAGTATTCCTGTACAAGTAGAATACCGAAAGTCATCGTGAATACGACGAAGTGTCCCCATTTTGAAAAGATTTTCATTTTGTATGGTATTTCACAACGCCGAGTCGGGTTAATGTCATATCTCCCTCAAAAACTGGCGAACTTGATGTTCTCTCAGTGCGCCGGAAAAGGTTTTGACAGCCTTGCCTCCTTGGAATGCCACGACAGTTGGAAGTGCGCGTACCTGGACCTGGTCAATACGAAAAAGATACCATGAAAAATAGGAAATGCACCTTGAATCGCTGACAAAGTTCCCTTCCCTCCTCGGTATCACTGTTAATGGTGACCAAATCCAACGGCTGACGGGACGCAGTCTCGGTAGAAGGATCATCCGTGAGTTGTTCGAGGATGGGAGAGAGGACCCTGCAAGGCTGACACCAGCTGCGAAGCATGAGCTTATGAGTATAGTTAAGCATCTCTGCTTACTCTGCGTAGAAATCGACGAGAACGATGCGTCCTTCTGCTGTGGTCACTTTTTTAAAGGTCTACAGATAGGTTAGATGGGTAGGGAGAGTAAAGGGAAAGTACGGACGTGAAAGTCGGCATCGATGTAGTGGTCGAAGCGGCGCAAAGTGGAAGAGAAGTGGCGGCGGGAGAGATGAGATGCGAAAGATCTGAGGGTACACAACGAGGCCATGATGGTTGAAAAACAGAGATATGATGTCATCATGTTAGCCGAGTTGACCGAGAATTCCTAGGCAACGTATAAATGCGAGGGCAAAAATGCCTCTTATTCCTCCCTCTTTCGTTCGTTCATTATGTTTTTCTTCTTCTTCTTTGCTGTCCTGGTGTCAGCCGTCTTTGTTTCTGCAGTGGACCATGTAGTAACCGTCGGTGACGGAGGGGTGAGTTAGTTACCTTTGCTATCTGATTATGTTTCTCACAGAGCTGGATAGATGCTGGCATTCAGTCCAACAAGGTGATTCCAGTCTGTGTAGTAAAGGTCTACGCGCCAAACTGAGCTCGTCCACAGCGTGACCGCCCTCGAAGGGGACACTGTCACATTTTCATTGTACGTTCTACCACACAGCCACCTACCCTTTCTAATACCCTCCACTAGTCGAGCCAACAACCACGTACATCTCCTCATTTCGCCCTTTTCCTACTTCTAACACGCCACACAGTCTGCAACACAATCCACGTTCGCCTTCCCCTGCACAAAATCAGGCATCGACTCGGGTTTTGTTCCCATCCCCGCCGGCAGCGCCCTCTTTGGCCAATGGACCTTCACCGTCAACAACGCCTCCACCCCTCTCTGGTTCTTCTGCGCCCAGACGGGTCATTGCGAGAAGGGCATGCTCTTTGCGGTTAATCCCACCCAGGAGAAGACTTTTCAGGCATTTTTGGCTATTGCGCAGGGGAATAGCACGAGTGGGACGGTTGCCGGCGTTTCGTCCTCTGTGAGCGCGTCTGGGGTCCTATCGAGTACTAGAACGGGTGTATCGGTTCTTAGTTCCAGTACCACTGTTAGTGTTTCTTCTAGTACTGCTAATGCTAATACCGCCAGCAACGGTGCCCCGCCCACTCTATGCATACATCGCGTCGCATTCGTAGTAGTGGCTTTGGCTTTTGGTTTTCTACTTTAGAACCTTGTACAAAAATACACGCGTCTTCTTCCAAGGCGAAAGAAATGGTTAAGAACACGACCAGTCTCCTCTCCCTCAATGCAGTAAGTGTAGATGTCATTCCTATTCACCTTTTGTGATATATTAAGGATGGACGCATCTCAACCACAGATTCTCTGTAATTCCAGAAAATTTTGTGGGGGCATAGCTCAGTTGGGAGAGCAACAGACTGAAGTAAGATGCCCTGAAGGCTGAGGTGCTTTCTGGAGGTCCCCAGTTCAATCCTGGGTGCCCCCATTACATTTTTTAACACGCCCAATTCTTTTTGGGAACAATTCTATCGAGTCAAGTGCCTGGCAAAGTAACAAATGCTAGCACTGACTGCCGCAGTCCTTTGATCTAGTTGATGCATAACCAAGATTCCAGTGCAGTTAGCAAAGGATTTCAATCTTTTTTTCTTTTCAAAAAAACACGCCCATGCTCAGCGCTCATATCTCGTTGACGCATAAAAAGTTTTCCATTGTATCACCATTTCCCAAAATTGCACTTTCAGGGTATTCCTAGCCTTGGCAAGAACGAAGAGTAACATGCTCACTCGCTTCAATACGTTCTCCGTAGGACTGAGGATGGATTATTAGTATTATATCCAAGTCGTAAAAAATCTGCAACTCACCTATTTGCGTTTCGAGTCCCGCCAACCAGTGCGGACAATACGAGGATCGCCACAAGTTTTCTATTAGCAGTTATATAGACGTATCTCGGTAGCATACAGCAGTGAAGTGCCAGGTGTTCTGCAAGTCGCTCGGTGGAGGTGACCTGACGATGGGGGAGTTCGTGGGGGAACCGAGGACATAGAGATCTGTTGTGGTGGGTAGGAGGGATTTGGGTGAGTAGTTGGTGATGTAGGGGCCGTATTCGAAGGACATATCGAGGGCGATATGCCGAATTGGGCGCGGTTCCAGGTAGACGAACAGATCTTGTTCCATCGTAAAGTGGGAGTTCAAAGGTGAGCCTTATGGTTTCACTTTGAGGAGCAGTGCTAGGAAGGAAAACGAAAAAGTCCTGTATTTGAGAGTGGGTTATCTATATTCTAGAGGTCTGTATAGATTGCGTGCGCTTCTTCATGTCCCGTCGACATCGTCCTAGTGGTGCATGGCACTGGTGCTTAGCAGCGTGACGTTCCGTCGTCGATATTCCGAGAAGCTCCAGGTTGGTGATTCCGACAAAAAACTGGACAAAGTTGGACGGAGTGTTTATACGTTTTTAATTCTCTTGATCGATCCTGCATATCCTTTGTGCAATTTGTTGAGGCAAATGGAATCGAGAGCGTGGTCGCCTGCATCATGTTCTTCAAGTCCCTTCTCAGGGAAAGAGGACATAGATAATCTCGTACGTATGCACACACCTATCTGAGACCATTTCCGGGAGTGAAGGGTGTGCAGCTAGTCCTTGCATGAGGTCGTGAACATAATGATGATAAAGAGTTGGAGTTGCCGTATTGAAGGCACGATGTGAAGTAAATAACGGAAAAGCTACCGGATTTGCAATAAAACATTCTCACATGACCCTGGCTCTCTACCGTTCGGTGTTACATGCTCGAAATGAAGTTTCGCTCTTCACAGCAGGACATTTTGTCTGGGTAAAAATGAGTTGTGATCCGATGACGCAGGGTTCTGAGTAACGAATGCAACATCCACGACTGCACACTTACCACGTGTGGACCGACCCGAGACCAGTTTTTGTGATTCCTTCTCTCCTAGATCTAGTCGATATCACGTCTTCGCGATTTCTCATTGAACTGTAACAGGCAGGTCTCTACCTGAGATCCTCAACGTTCGTCCCTTGTGTCCCCACTGTACAGACAATATCTTGGATATTCGACCAGCAAGATATTCTACGGTACAAATCTGCCTGGCTAGTATTGTTGAGGCCGATCTGTTGTTCGTCACCCAGCGTCCTCTCTTCCGTTACTGTTGTGAATGTTTATGCGTGCTACCAGATCCTACTGAAAGGCAGGCTCTTCAAACAGGTGCTACGGCCCACGTCGTAGCAAACATAGGCTATCTGTCGCCTTCAAGGACATGTTGCTCCAAGCCAAGCAGAAGCTCAAGAATGACATTGATAGCCTCGGTGGAGATAAAATGGACCCTGGCAGAGGAAGAAGTTGATTGGCGATTACCAGGCGAGCGAACGCCAGATCAAGTCCTATGCAAACCATAGTTTCAGAGTCGAGGTACGTACACGCCTCAATCACCATGGCCCACTCTGAAGAACAACAGGCATTTCATTCCTGAGCACGACAATGCGGAGGATCAAATGTCAGTCTCTCGACCTGCTATTCCGATACACAGCAATTCGAATGCAGAGCAAGAGAAGGCTCACGAAGGTGGGATAGAGAGGAAAGCTGCTGCCCTGAGAGCACGTGAAGAGTATTTGAAACGACGCGAACAAAACCTGGAGAAGCGAGAGAAGCACAAGAGGCGGAGGCAAGGAAGGAGGAAGATTTGGAGAGGAGAGAGGAAGAGCTTGCCAAGAAAGAGGCAGAAGATTCGAAGCTGAGTGAGTGGTGGCGTGCACAGTAGGAGAAATTGTGGGCGGGGCTGGAGCGACTTGAGCGGTGTCCAAGTCTGAACAGCTGGATTCAGGTCAATGTCGACGACAAAAAAATCGATGTTTGCATGCAGATTCAGAGTCTACTCCATAATGTTGCTTATCCTTGGAGGTCCGTGGAGTTGATATCACTATCGGTGGAAAAAGTGGTTATGGATGTCCTGCAGCAGGTACGTTTACTGTAGAGCCTATGCTAACACGAAGGATCTAATGAATTGTCAGGACGCGCCCCAGTGATGAGTATCGCACTGCCATGAAATGTCTTCGAGCATTGAGCAAGGACCGGAACATCGTTCCCTCTTCCTTCTCTTGTCTAGATGTAATTAGAGAAGGGGAACATTCCGTCTGGGACGGTGCGTTTTCAGTGAGCATGCACCCTACTCTTGGTTAATGATTTTGTACTATGAGACTTATGTGTTGTGCTTTTGACAAGACATTTGGAAAGGGCGTCTTCGTGACACTCAAGTTTGCTTGAAAGTTCTTCGGATATTCACCTCTGAGAAGGATAGAAAGAATTTAATCAGAGTGAGCCGTGCACGTACGAAGCCAAACTGCATCTCGATCTGCCGCAGAATTTGTGCCAGGAAGCCCTCGTATGGAGGCAACACCGTCATCCCAATATCCTTCCCTTCTTGGGAGTCAGCGAAGACCTTTTTACTCCGAGTTACTGTCTAATATCTCCCTGGATGATCAACGGGAATTATTGTTGCTTACCTCGAAGCTCATCCTGATCACAATCGTCTTTCGTCGGTATGGCAGCCCAATCTTTACATCGTGTGAGAGTTGTTAGGAGCCGAAGCTATCTTTTTGTTAAAAAAAATTATAGCTGATTCAAGTTGCTGAAGCTATGGAATATTTACACAATCTTCACCCTCCAATAGTACATGCAGATATCCGCGGGGTGCGATCACTGTGCTTGTCTTCCTCGTGCTCTGACATGAATTAGTCTTAGGCAAATATTCTTGTCATGGATGATCTGTGTTGCTGTCTAGCAGATTTTGGGCTTTCCATATTTGCGGAAACGCGGGGCTTCGACAACTCTTCTAGGATGTGGAGCGGAGCTCTTCGCTGGCTAGCTCCCGAATACATGATTCCGGGGGCGTTCGATCAATCCTACATCGCTGCTAGGGATTCCTATGCTTACGGGTGCACTGTCATCGAGTAGGACTTATAGCGCACTTTTTATCACCACAATCTCATGGTATTTAACGGAGGTCTTTACTGGAAAACCACCTTTCCATGAGATCAAGAATGAAGCTAGCTTCATCAGCGCGGTTGTTACCAGAGCAGGTTGTCCGGTGCTGGAACTGTCCCCAAATGTTTTCCCTCACGATGGATTGTGGTCGCTCGTCGTAGAGTGTCTCAGAACTTTGCCAAGTGAGCGACAAGATGCTAGAATGGTTTCACGGATGGTACGATTGGCTGCCCAACTGACGAACGTGTAGATGGGTGAGCCGGAAGGGGACGTCTCACATAATGATATTGGGCAATTATTGACGTTCAATATTGAACGACCAGAAACCCATTCTAGAATGTATGAACGATATCTCAAATATTATGGAAAACCATATGCTTGGTTTTGAGCGTAAGGCAGGACACCAACCAAAAGGTCCGGCCACGGCCCAATTTCAGCGAAATTGGGTATGACCTCGACGTCCATGAGCAGGTATCCCTTCTTTCTCCCAAGGGAAAATTTTCGCACACTTGGTAGCGCCCGACAGTGTGGACAAGACGGCAACGAGCCACGTATAGATGACTATACAACGTCTTTATACTGGATGTACTAATACATACGTCTAATGAAGTCACGATCAGTATTGCCGCAATGACAAAATCGTTGTGCGTATTACAGTCTGAAGTCAGTCATTAGATACTTAGACGATCTTCAAACCGGGGACGATGGACGTTGGCCGATTGGGAGATGTTCTCTAATTGATGTATCCCAGGACCGTTGAGTTCTGGCCTCTGTGTACCAAAAATACCACGGGTTCTCATAAACAAACTGTTAGCGACAGATTGAAAATTTAGGAGATCCATACCTTGCGAGATGAGGACCTTCGGTAAAGATATGTGTACACTTTAGTAGATCGCACTCAATTTGACTGTTTTTCGCAGTGGCGAAAAGGACATGTCTACTTGCTCTCCTCCGACAGCCGGCGCGAATGATTGCACGTTCTTACGCACGATGCACCATCCACTGCCGTGCCCGGGTTCTAACACCGCACTCCAACATATCTCATAGCATCGATGAGATTCATGGAAGGACTTGACCGAAATGCCCATAGTAGTTGTGGGCAAATTTGTGTCGATTCTTCCTGGGGTCGGTTGATATGGAGTTGCTCAAACTTCAAGTTGCTACGTACTAGCCCATGGTTCTGACACCTGCTGAATGAGATATCAGGACCGAGGAACATGATCGATCACACTAGGAAGCTCACGAATTCTTCCATGCTTTCCTCGCCCTCCGGCAATCACCACCGTGCCCGGATATCACTGTAAAGACACAAATATCTTGACCCTCTTGCTTCCATCGTTCCCATAATTGCACCTTTTTATGTGGTTTGGCGTGATACAACTGATATAGGGTAAAACGGCAGAGTATATATAACATGATCAAGAACTCATACGCGTCCCATACAACGCTCCCTTCAGAATGGAACTATACCCCCGTCTGAGCGCTGTGTCTC